CCGTGGTAGGATGTTGCAATGCATTAACAACTTTCTAACAAACAGAACCTTTCAAGTCCGGCTTGGGAGCACCCTCTCTAAACCTTTTGTTCAAGAAAACGGAGTCCCACAGGGAGGCATTTTGAGCGTCACTTTGTTTGTACTGAAAATGAATTCTCTCACACGAATGCTACCTCGGTCTATTTCCTACTCTCTTTATGCTGACGATGTACAGATCTCCTCATCTTCTTGCAATCTTTCTAGTTGTGAGCGGCAGTTACAACTGGCTATAAACAAACTTTGTAAGTGGGCAGACGAAAATGGTTTCATGTTCTCTGTTGCAAAGACAGTCTGTGTGCCTTTTTCCCTACGTCGTGGGCTCTCCTTAGACCCAGTTTTGAAACTAAACGGTACTCTAATTCCTGTTAGGAAGGAGCGCAAGTTTCTTGGTGTCATATTTGATAAAAAAACTTACCTTCATTCCCCACCTGAAATTTCTGAAAGAAATTTGCCTTCGTTCCACAAACCTTCTGAAAGTTTTGGCTCATAAATCATGGGGGTCGGACCGAAAATGTCTGTTGCATTTGTACACCGCGCTTGTGCGATCTCGTCTTGATTATGGCGCCGTGGTGTACGGATCGGCTCGCCCATCTGCTCTCAAGATGTTGGATCCTGTACATCATCTTGGCTTGCGTTTGGCAACAGGTGCTTTTCGGACATCGCCTGTACTTAGTTTGTATGCGGAATCAAATGAGATGTCGCTGTGCAAAAGACGTCAATACCTCAGCCTAGCCTACGTGTCTAGGATCCTAGCAAACCCTGATCACCCAACGTATCATTCCGTACAAAGGTCTCAATTCTACCGTCTCTTTGAAAATAAGCCAAGCATCGTCAGACCGTTAAGTTTTCGTGTAGAGCAATTTTGTTCCTCACTTCAGCTTCGTCTGGACGAACTTAACCTAATTCAAAACACAGTCTGCGTGGCGCCCTGGAATGTGGTACGCGTTTTTTGTGACTGGACTCTCACTAAGTTTAATAAGAATAGCATATCAGCTCTTGTTATTCAGCAGGAATTCCTTGACCTGGAAGAGAAATATAAAGATTATGCTCACTTTTACACAGACGGTGCCAAGACTTCATCGTTTGTCGGGTGTGCCGTGCATTCAGGTCGTTTTGTAAAAGTTACACGTCTAGAGGAATTTGCGAGTATATTTACTGCTGAAATCTATGCTGTGTCTTTTGCATTGGATTATATTCTGAAGACTAAAACTAGACGGGCCGTAATATTTGTGGACTCTCAAAGTGCCATTACTGCAGTTTGCTCTCTAAAAGCCACTAAGAATATGCTTGTGGAACAGGTGCGAAGTAAACTTAATGGAGCTTTACGTAAAGGTCACAATATAAAATTCTGCTGGGTTCCGAGTCATGTGGGAATAAAGGGTAATGAGGAGGCAGACAGGCTTGCTGCATCTTCAGGTAACTGCTCTCGATATCAAGCAAGCTTGCCCTATCAAGATATCAGATCATTAATTAAGTCGTCATTTTTTCGTCTATGGCAGGCAGAGTGGGCCATGGAGTCTAATAACAAGCTACATGTAAGCAAACCAGTTCTTGGGTCTTGGGAGAGCTCCTCACTTAAGAACCGCTTTCACGAAGTTGTATTGTGCCGGCTTCGAATCGGGCACTCTTTCCTTACACACAGATATCTCCTTTATGGGGAGGATCCACCAGTTTGTGAGCACTGTGGAGACAATCTTACTATACTTCATATTTTGTGGATCTGCCCGGAATTCGACACCGAACGTCGCGCTCATTTTCCTGAGTTTTTTAGATTTTGTATTCCATTTCATCCCGCTCTTTTGCTGGGAAAGCACCCTCTTGTTCCTCTTGATCGAGTTTTATCATATATTACTAGTACTGGCCTTATACACCAGATCTAGTCCCAGTTGTTTTCAGGATCATCTTTTTGTAATGAGGTAACTATAGGAGTTTCATTAGTTAATTTAGTCTGGCGCAGTATGGCCTTCGTTGCTGTTGCGCCAAAAAACCCGCAAACAACAAACAACAAACAACGGGTGTACTAACTGGCCAGTTTCGCTGTTCGAGGGCAAGCCATTCCGGCCCTGACCACCATACCTGTTGAGTCTCCAGCTGTACTACAGTCTTTCCTCTAGTGAGAGCGTCGGCTGGGTTCTCGTAACCTGGGCAGTGGTGCCAACTGGACGGATCACTGAGTGCTTGTATTTCTGCCACCCTATTGCACACAAAGGGTTGCCACTCGGTTGCCAATCCCTTAATCCAGCCAAGTGTTATAGTAGAATCTGTCCAGTACCATATTGTAACGGTGTGGCCCAACAATGAGCTACGAAGATATGGAGCAATGCGTGCTCCCAATAGCGCTCCCATCAGTTCTAATCGTGGAAGGGTTAGTGTCTTCAGTGGAGCAACTCTAGCCTTGGAAAATATCAGATTCACGCTGACTTCTCCTTTCCTGTTCACTGCACGGAGATATGCGCAGGTACCATACGCCAGAGGGCTAGCGTCGGTGAAGATGTAAATCTCCAGCTCGCTTTCACCTTCGACACCCAGCAGATATCTCGGCGTCGTGATTTGTGGTAATTCCGTTAAATCGGCGCACCAGGATTTCCACTCTTGCAAAAGAGCCTCTGTCAGAACCTCATCCCATCCAAGTCCGCATTGCCATATACGTTGAAATAAAAGTTTCACTCTTATGACATACGGCGACAGGAAACCGAGGGGATCGAAGATCCTAGCCGAGGCCTTGAGTACGGAGCGCTTTGTGTTCAGATTTGTAGAAAGTATCTCCAAGAGATGATCAGCAGAGAACTTGAAATGATCCGCGTTTTTATCCCACACCAATCCCAATATCTTGGTGACCTCGGGGGACTTAAATAGCTTATTTTCGGATGAATGATCGACGTTTTCCGCTCTTTGATCAAAGAGTTTCTGGAGTTGAGAAGAATTGGTGTTCCACTTTTGCAGTTCCATGCCTGCTTCCCTGAGTAAAGTCAGTGCTCCGTCAGCGAGTCGCTGTGCCTCCTTAATGTTCGCTGCTCCTGTTAGCAGGTCGCCCACGTAAAAGGATCGGGGTAAAATAGTTGCGATGTCGTTGTTGGGTCCACCCACGTTTTGCAAGTGGTGCTGTATCGTAGCCCCGAGTAGGAAGGGACTGGAAGTTGTTCCAAAAGGAACCCTCGTCATGCGCCACTCCTTCGTATTTGGCAGTGGCTCGTTGGGCTTGGGTGTATTTTCAAACCAAAGAAACCGGAGGGAGTCCCTGTCACGCTCCGAGATGACTATTTGTAAAAACGCCTTTTGTATATCTGCTGTGATGGCCACCTTCTGCATTCGAAATCTGAGTAGGACGGGCAAAAGCTCTGTGTTGATCGTTGGACCCTTTTCAAGGTGATCATTGAGAGATCCGGTGTTTGCTGCATGGGAAGATGCGTCGAAAACTACTCTAAGTCTAGTTGACTCCGAGTTAACTCGAATTACTGCTCGGTGAGGCATGTAATAAACGTGCCTGTAGATTGATGCATTTAATTCTATCTCTTCGGCGTGTCCATCTTTAAAGTAACTACGTATTGCTTTGTCATACTGGGCGATAGAGCCATCTTGTGAGAGACGGCGTACAAGACTTCGGAGTCTGGTTTTGGCAATCATGTAATTATCGCCAAGGGTCGTTTTTGTCTCCTTCCACGGCAACGCGACCTCGTACCGACCGTTCTTTTGTCGGATGTTTTCCTTGAATTACTCAAACACCTTTTTTTCCTGTTGTTTCATATCCATAGGTTCATCCACGATTCCAATAGTCTCCAGTTCCCAGAAATGTTTTAACGCTGCATCATCTTCTTCGTCAGCCCCTCCCATGTTCAACACGCAAACCATCAAATTTGTGGTATTATCTGATAAGACACTCACTGTGCTCGTTGGACCCTGAAAGGTCCATCCCAAAGTCGTTGCGATGGCTACTAGCCCGGTGTTGCAAGATGAGCGGCGTGTCTCGCCGGTCAACAATCTCCACATCTGGTCCGCTCCAATTAAAAGGCTTATGCCCGCTTCCACTTGAGTCGATGGAAACATCAACTTGTCGGCGATGTCTCCTGGGATAGTCTTGAGAAATGTGTGCTCTACTGGAGTTTCTACGATGTTTTGGCAGATGAAAGGCACGACGACTGCTTCTAAGACATGATCCGCTGTCTTATATTTGCCCCTAATATGGATTCTAACTACGGTGAACTTCTGCCTACACCTGTTTGAGTCACTGCAAGCAAAGGTGTTGAGTTGCATGATACGTTCACCGACAACCTTCAAATTAAGCTTCCTAGCCAAGTCTTCTTTGATGAAAGTCTTTTGGCTCCCTCCGTCGATAATGCCGCGGATGTAAGCTTGGTTCAGGCCGGTTCCAACCCAGCTTCGGAACGTTTGCAATAGGACGCTCGGAGTCTGTACTGTCGGGGACGGGGTACTACCGGCGGTAAGAACGTTGGCAGTCTCCTGAACGGTTGATAAAGCCTCCCACGCCGCGTTACACATTGAGGTGACATGTCTTCCCCTGCATCCGGTACATCTCTGTTGACTACGGCAATCCCTTGATCGGTGACCTCGCTTCGTGCAACGAAAGCATCTCATGTCTTGCGCTAGCATTTTCTTTTTCTCATCTAGTGTGATATCCGATGGACAATCACCGGTACGGTGAGTTCGGTAGTTGCAAAAGAAGCAGGTGTTGTCTGTTCCGCTAGTGTGCAACACCAACGTTGATGGTGGATTGGCGCCTTGCCTCTGATTTTGAGCCACTGTTGGCACGGTTGTCGGCATTCGCTCGAGTGGCGATGACTGTTCTCTGCTCTCTATCTCCACGCGCATAAAACGCAAGAGTTTATCCAACTCCTCACCTGGATCTGTTGGCGAAGGCGAGACGTCGTTTAACGGTTGTCCATCGTCAGTCGTTCCGGCTCTTTCTCTCCCGTTGACTGGAACTCCAAGCCCTATCCCGTATCTTAAAGTCGATGGTACTCCACCACTATATCGGTTGGGAGGTTGGACAGGAGTACGTCCACCATCATAGTAGAATACGTTGCACTCGAAACGCCTAGTGCACGCAAGCCACGAATGTTGGTCTGGACGTGGTCGTAAATATTTCTTAGTCCTCGTACATCTCGATCTGACTTCACCGTTGGTAGGCTTCGCAGTCTTTCGAGGTACTCACGCTGAATGCGTTGCTTGCTCCCGAAGCGTTCGGATAGTATTTCTATGGCGTCCTTGTAGCACTCTGCCGTTGCTTGTAGCCCGGAGATAGCATTGGCAGCTGGCCCACTTAGCAGGGAGCGTAGATATTGGAATTTGTCTCCCTCCGTGAGTCTGGTGTTACGGTGAACGGCAGTTTGGAATTGCTCCCAGAAGGGCTGCCAGAGGGTAAGCTCACCTTGATACTGCAGTAGTTGTAGTTTAGGGAGTTTCACGCCCGTGGCCAGGGGTATGACTCTGTCACCGACGTCTCCCACCTGGTAAATGGCTGGTGCTGCCGGTTGACGCTCGATTTTGTTGCGTACCTCACTGAGGGCTCTTGCTACTTGATCTTCGTAGTCTGCCACAGCAACATAGTCCGCTTCGAGGTCGGCATCGGTGATCAGCGGCTCAATCTCTTCGTTGACCTTGCGGAGTTCCTCGTTGCTGGCGATCAGCCTGTCTCGTAGGTTCTTCAGGGAGTTGATGTCAAGGGTTGTTGACTGGAGCGCAGTCATGATATCGGTAATTATCTTCGTGTTCTGGCTCCGTCGAACCCTCCGCTTCGTCTTCAGCCGATCCATCCTGATGTTGATTCCTCACTTCCAAAGGTCCTGAGTTTCGGCACCATTAATTGTTGCACATATAAGCTCTCTATTTTGTCGACTGATGACTTTGTCGGTGACCTTGTGAGGTCGATTCGTGAAAGACAGGACAACCGACTTCATTGGGAACCTTCGTTTTACTGACCTAATGGCTCCCATCGCGCCAGCCCCTGCCCCTCATCTTCTTCTTTGTAAGCGGACAAGAGTCTTATGTCAGTCCCTGTTCAGTTACAATTATTTTACAGGCTGCTCGTAAATTGCTGACCCAGTCGGAGCACGAGGAGCATGGACCTTCTTTGTCTGTGCCCGTAGGTTCTCCGTACACGTCACTTAGTTTACGACCAATTTTCTTTTTGAAGTCCGCGGTTATCTCGGATTTTTTTCGCTTAACATAGCCGGTACGACTTCGTGGGGTCACGCTAGAAGGGAGTTTAAGTGGTGTCACACTTACTTCGGCAGCATCAATTGCTTCAGACACTCCTTGGACCAGGGCTTCCTCGTCAACGAATGATCTGTCCGCTGGTTTCAGGGATGATGACGATGAGCTTGATGACAACATTTCCTGTCCTTGCTTATGTTCTTCAATCTGACCCAAGAACATTGTGTAGCAGTTATTGCACAGAACATCTCCAGGGCTTACGCGATGGGTGTCCTCAGCCGATAGAACTTGCTTAAGAAAACTTAGGTTTAGCTCCGAGACTTGACGAAAATGGCGTCCGTAAAACACTATTCTCTTGTGTCTCCTTGAATACTCGGCGCACACTTTCCGATCTGAACTGAATAATGTATTAGCCATGGCAGTAACGAACACTTCTGGCTTTCTAAAAGCAGGAGCAGTTTTAAGTTCATCCAGCTCAGACAGCACGGAGGTAGGATGAGTACCAGCTTTCCGCCAATGGCTTAGGAATTCAAGTAAAAAGCCAGAAAGAGACCGAGAAGGCTATCATCAGTTAGACGACGTGCGAACATTCGGCTTTGGGTCCCCAATCTTCCCGTCGATCCATACATAAACATTCGCTCTCCGCCTCGCGCGTAATCTGAGTGCCACGCAGCAGCGGCGTCTCTTTTAGCGCCCGCGGATTAGTGGCACGGTTGTGTTAGAAGGACGAGGAGGGGAGCTTGGAAAGACAGAGGGGGGCTTGCGACGTAAACTCTAACCTCGAAACGTCTGTTCTCCCGACAATCAGGGTTTCCGTGTCGGTCGCATCCAAAGGCATAATCCTTAGAGGCTCCAGGACCCTGACGAAGATAGAGGCGGTAGCCCCGTGATGTTCAAGATAAAGTATTCTATACACGCCGCCTGACTGGGGTGGCATCTGTAAAATTTCGGAGCCGAAAGCAAAAGGCCTCAGAGGACTTCTCTAACGATCTGCATTCCCCCGTATTGGGAGAAAAGGATGCGCTCGCACTTGTGAATACGGACTTCTCAGTAACTTTTTTTTTTAAGAGCACTACTCAATTTTTTTTTTAATGTTAATGGTTGGATATTAGGTAATTGCTAAAGATAAATAGAAAACCTTATATTGGCCAAAATTCTGCTCAGCAGAACGTCTGTGCGAAGTCCCGTTCAAAACGCTCATAGCACGAGATTCGAGTCTTAATAGCGGCCATACAAACAATATATTACAATTTCTGTTGGTAGTTCCTGATAGACTACTATATTGACTAACTGTGAATAAAAAATCAAAAAAATAAAAAGTGGTTTTTTTTTAGAAAATCGACTCCAAACTTGCTAGTTTTTCGAAATATTCGTTTTTCAGGCACATGTAGCGCATTATATACTTGCGGCAAAATATTGAAATTATACTCAAAAGAAAGAGCATAATTGGTGCTTTACGGTGATATAAAAATCATAAAAAATATGTTGATTAGGTCACAGAGCACAGCTTGCTGAACTTCGTCAAATATCGTCACAGAGAGGCTGTTTGACAAATAAAAAAAATCTTTAGGAATGTTATGACCTAGACGCTTAATTAGCATGAAAAAGCCTATGTCTAGAGCATTCGCAAACATTTATATTGATGTAGCGTAAAAAGTAGGCAAAAGAGATGGAGTGAAATATGGCACCTCCGATAAGCTGGAAAAAGATCAATTTCCACCTTGGCCGCTTCAACGGTCCATAACTTGAAATTATAACTTGAGAACAAAAAATCCGACGAAATAACCGTTTGCGTCTTCTTTTAGTATAGGAATTTCCCCAAAACATATATGTTTTTCGTAAAAATTAAAAATTCGACCCTAAATCCGTGCCTGAGTTGAGATGAAACCACCCTATTTATTTAAATTTATTAATTTGTCTAAAAATTGCAAAACACGACTTCTCAAACGACAAATGGAAAAATTTGGAGGCCTGTATCTCTTGAAATAATTTATTCATTATTATAGTTTGCAGACTATTTAAACTTTATATGACAAAAAAAGATCAAACAACAAAAAATTCCGACACAAATAAAAAAAAAAACGCCTTCGATTTCTTTTAAATTTGGGTACCCTGTTATACTCTATTTCCACATTCATTTCTAATACAAACATGTTCCATTATTTTATTGAGAAAGAATAAACAACTCCCCAAAGAAGGGTCCTTTTTCAAAGCCTCCACTTAGCAGTGCCTTATACAAGAAGTGAGTCTGAGGTCCAGTTTCATGAAACTAATACAGATATTTTATATACTTTTATTCAGATGAGGCCATTGATAACTATAGAAATCGTTTAAACACTAAAACTGAGGAGGAACTACTTTGTACAAAGAGCTATCATATTACGAAGTAGTGATCCGAGAAAAGATCCTGCAACCATCGGCCACTGCGAACTTTGTTCACTTTATTTTCCTGCGGCACCATATGATCCTCCCTCTTGCACTCTATCTCCACCTGTCTCTCCTATATATATATATACATCCCTGACTTATATCCGGAATAAAACCATATTCGAGCATTTCCTTTCTGCGTGAAAGTGTTCTACGGCTAGCAACAGTCATTTCCTCGCGAAGATCACGATAATGGCGCAATAGTTGACGGAAGCAGCAGGATTTCCCCTCTCGCTGTCAAGGATGAGGGGGTTCGCTTCAACAAGCAAAATATGGCCGCCGATGCCTGTTTACTGAGCAGTCGTGCCTGTCGCCATCCCACTCGCTGGCTTCGCGGCCGATAAAATCAGGCACGAAGAGGCACACCGACCGAGAGCAGAGCCTTCAAATACTGAAGCCCCGCTTAAATACAATAATGCGTATACACTATCGCCATGTTAACCTAAGAAATGTTAACATAGCAAGAGTGTTTACGTTTAAGGTAAGGAAAAGCATGGCGCCTGGTGTGAAGCGGATCCTTACACTAGGTGCAAGGTGAGCCCTGATTACCTGTCTGCTGCCCTTGAGTACTTCACGAAAGACGAGCTACAATGTCCGCGTCAAGGTCCCAACGAGAAGGACGTGATCTCTGTCATGCACGACGGGGAGAAAGCGTTCGTGCCAAAGCGCTTCCTGACACGCTCAATCCAAGAGGCCTTTCGTGTATACAAAGACAAGCATCCCGACTCCGACGTTAGGCTAACGAAACTTTATTCCTTCCGCCCTAGATTGCTCAAATGAATTCCACACCAGGATGTGTGCGTTTGTGTGCGCTGCGCCATTTATGAACTTTGTATTGCCGCTGTAGAGAACGTTACAGGCTCAACAGTCAACACTGGGAAAATCAACTCCGCATTTCTGTGCGCCCCACAAACAAGTCTGTGTCTTTAAGGAGGCTGTGATCACTGTCCAAAAGGCAAGTCTCTTACACTCGAAGAACTTCATATCCCAGAGGATGAAGAGATTGTGCCCACAACGTAAAAGTACGGCGACCTCGTTAAAAAAAAAAGAAAAAAAAAACATTGGATTTTGAGATTTTCTTAATAGTCGTTCAAGTAACGGTTGAAAGTTGGGTATTTCACAACCATATCCAACAAACGCAAGATAAAGCAATCTATGATGAAAGGTAGCTGCATGCAACGCGGGAGCATCGTCTTTCATTTTGACTTTGCTGAAAACTGAAGCATCGTGCTTCCTGAAAATGTTAAAGCATACCACTAAAGAAAAAAGAAACGTTTAAGACATTTACATGCGTAGTGACGTCAAGAAAATCTACGAACAGCGTTGCTATCATCAGGGAGGACCTGTCTGACGACGTCGCTCTCACGTGCTTTGCTCTAGAAAGAGTGGGTTGAAGACAAAGTTCCGGTATACTCGCACGTAATGTACGCAAGTGACGGGGCCGCCAGTCTTTTTCAGAATCGCTACCAGCTGCACCAGATTCCACAGAATGGTTCCCCACAAGCCCAGTAGTCATTTTCTGTATGTGTAAATAGGAAAATGCATACGACGGAGTTGGCGGAATCGTGAACGATCACGCTTCGCTGAAAAACCTGAGAACGTTCAATAAACGCAGTTCAGACGGCCAGGACAATGGTGAGCGTTCTATTTCAGAAACTGGGTGCATCGTGCGTACCTGGACGAAAATGAGCTTGTTCGGTATCGACACAAAAAAAAAAAAAAAGACAGGCTGACGGTTTGCTTCTTTCCTGTCATTCAGTCTTGGAACGCGTGGCGGCTGTGCAAGTCATCAACAGAAGGGACCTGCAACATATATGTAGCAAGGACAGTCGGATCTGGTTAGAAGAGTCTTTATTAAATGGGTTCATCGAGGAAAGCCCTAGTGCAAAGTGCCGAAATCGATGCAACAAGAACTGCTCAATTTCAATGCAGGGATATCTTTATCACAATTTTCTTCGCGGGGTATTTTACCTACTAATTTACTTGGCGATAGCTTATGATTCTTATCTGATCACCAGATGAGAATCACGAAACGTTATCGTCGCGCAGGATGAAATATCTCGGCTTGCCACGATCCATTCGTACACCGAAAGGATCGGAGCTCTTACAGTCCGGCGCGGTGGCACCGCTCACCTGAAATGGTTTGCCCCGGAAATGCATAACCAACCTAAAC